TTAAGTTGGCATAATGAGAAGTTGTAAAAGCATTGAAATCTACAAGATGAGGGCTGTGAAGCATGTGCTACATTCTCCTGACGAGCCGAATTGGGAAGCTATCTTCTGATATAATCCACCTTCAGGACTCTAAAAATGATCGCCTGTGGTGAGAAGTCGTAGTGGTAGTTAAAAGTCTGTCCTCTCTTATCACTTTGCCATGCTTTGATATCCTCGATTTTGTGACTGGTACTTGAGTTACAACCAACACCCCCCCCCTTCCGTAGGCCAAATGCGACCCCACTCGATATGTCCGCAACTGGCGGTTGACCTTGCTTGTCAATGCACTATCGTGCCCCAGCAGCAACGAATTTCTTTGGATTTTATGTTTTCTAAGCCACTTACACGTGCACATGCTTTGGAGATCGGAACCAAGAGAGTCTTCAAAAGGAGCAAATTCCAGAGTTTGCCCATGAAGGTGAATTGCCGTCAAAAACTTGGATAAAGATTCATGGTTTTTATTCTAAATTTTCACCGTTAGACCAGGGACGGTAGTAAAGTACTCTAAACTAGCAATCAAATGTGGTGATTTTTTCCCATTGGCGAGGAACAGAGAACGTGGAAACATGGACATGACCCTCGTTGAAACCGCGAGCCTCGCCACACGACCTGCAAAACTCTCGGACTTGAACCCTGGATGATAGGGCTCATAGCCGGGTTTTTTGCCAGCACCAGGGATCACTCGATCACAGCATCGGAAGAGATGTTGACAACAGGTAAGCAACGGATGTTGTTTGCAAATCTTAGACTTCAAGCGGTGTTGATCCAGCAACCTTGCCAGCGGCAGCGTGGAACGTTCCATTGAGCCATTGGCAATTTGCCATAGTGAAGTGGTGAGCATCCACCACGTTGCCTGCAAAACATGCGTCACACACGGGTTCGAACTTTTGGTGCTTTGTCCCATGAGCGACATCGCCACTACTGCACTAGCCGCGAAAGGCATTCAAGTTCCCATGGAAGATTCAGTTGAGACCCAAATATATCGACAGAGCTTCAAACGCCGATTACAAATATGGACTTATGACCTCCAGAAAAAGAACTAGGGCACTGCCGCTACTCCGCGGCGACTCTGAAAGCCTGGGATCCAGCACGGTTCATATGCAACGCTTTACTTAGCCAACTTTGACTGCTCACAACTTCCTTGGCAGGTTCATTTTGCAGTTTTAGTTTCCATATTTGTAATCAGCGTTTGAAGCTCTATCGATATATCTGGGTATATTCGAAGTTCCACGGAGTTTTGATTACCTTCCCTGGTAAGGGGCTTTTCTTATCGACATTGCAAGTTTAGTAATAAAAGGGGTGTAGCATAAGAATTAAAAAGCTCTAGACATATTGAATTGATCTCGTGTCCGATCCAACACAACGCGAAGCCCAAGCGATACACCATTGACGAGTCGATGCAAGGTGCTTCCCCTTCCCTTCCCAATACTCTGCTTTGACCCATACAGAATGGCAGTTACAATGTTCCGGTCTGTGAAAAGTTCTCCGGAGGACTTTTCAGAGATGGCCACATTGTAATTGCCAGGGTGCGTGGGTCAAAGGAGGGTGTTAGAAGGGAAAGTGAAGCCCTTGCATAGATTCGTCAATGGTGTAGCGTTTGCGGATTCGCGTGCTAATCCTCTTACTGCCGTATGATGTGATCATCCACACTTCCTAGTGAGTTTGAACTCACTTCGACTCCTAAGGAGAATCTTCGGAGAGGTTCCAGAGGTCCTCTACGCATGTTTGAGGGAACTTCATATGAAAGCCTTCACCAGGTTATCGAGCTCATGGTCATATGGTAAGTAGCAGCTAAGGCCACGTAAATACCGTCCCAGATTCCATTTCATCGCATAGTGAAAGAACATTACCTGGTCTCAATCTTAATCCATCAAAAAATCTTGCGGACAATGTCCCGGTTCCCTTCTAGCTTCATTAACACTCGAGACTAGTTTATAAATGTAAAGCCTTTCGAATAGTAATATAAGTAACTTTGAGCGATTGGATAACCGCGGTGAATGCCAAGCAAAGGCAATAGGGAATGAAATGTCGAGGAGGAAGTGAAGGATAGTTGTTAGAAATGTGCTGAACTGCTCTTACCAACGGTTAGATCATTTTCGGGCCCTGAGGATTGGCTAATGCGGGAGTAGCGTGATATCCGAAGATGATGAAGAAGTCAGAGAGATCTGAGAAAGCTCAAGACCTACGGTAACCCGCAACAGTTTTTGAATGAATTCAAAAAGCAATTCAAACCAATCTTGTTTTTGCAACCACGAAGTCTTCTGAAGTCTAAACCACTCACATGGGGAGCTCTGTTGGACGTGCGCGTTCGATAAAAAGATGAGAGATCCAGGAAGCATGTGAGCTCAAGTCGTAAATTTGGCTAACTTGACGATCGGTTGGTGTATGAGACGACCTGTCGATTGATAGTTCGATTTGCCTTTCCCCTCTTTCCCACATTCGGCAGTGGCTTGTGAATCCGCGACCGTCAAATTTAGATTGAATATCAATTTCATGGTCAAGTCACCCATCTGTCCGATAATGAACTCGCAGAAGATTCTGGGAAAGTGATTGTACATGTGTCAGAGTATTAATGATCGATCGAGAATATCGGCTTTTTCGGAGAGCGCTTGGAAATGGTAAAGGTTCATTCGATGCTGCTTAGGTAGGGGACCAGACGCTGAAAATTCATACGGTCATGAGTAACCGATCGATATCGATCGAAAATATCGGTTTTTTTTTCGGGGAAGGCTTGAAAATACTGAAGGGTTATTCCATGCTGCTTAGGTGGAGAAGCAGGCGCCGATAATTCATAAGGTTATGGGTTCTCATCGATTTCATGGATTGAAACCAATACCCCTACAACTACCAACAAGAAGTTCCCTTTATTTGTATCCAAATTTACTGTATACAATGACGAATACTTATCTTAGCGAAGTACAATTTCCACTTCAATTTTCACATTGCTTACATTCAACATGTTTTGCTTTCTTTCATTTCGTTTCTGTTTTCTTGCCCTTTCTTTTGGTCTCTCTTATTTTTTTCACACTTGTACGCATATTAACAATACAGCCTGACACAAATGCACCAGATAACACTGTGTTGCCTTCAAAACGATTTGTCGGAGGATTTCTGGAACAACAGCGATAACAATACTACACACAATAAGACAGATTATGGTGAAGACTGACGACAACATTAACAAAAACTGGAACAGATTCCAAACGCAAGCACTGGCATCAGGCGTTCTTGTCTTTGCTCACGTTTTCTAGCAAATGCAAATTCTCGAAAAATATGTCATGTGTCTGAAGAACACATGTGCCATCTATTCGTCTGAAATACGTTTCAGGTCTACAGTAGAACAACTAAAAAGAAAATATCCGGAGCAGATAGTGAACCAGTAGAGGTAGAGGGTGATCCCTGTTGAACACAGCAATGCTTGATTTACCAATTTCTTTCGAATCTTTGTTCTAACCTTTACTTTTAATTTTCAATATGAGGCACTTTTGATTACATTTTTTCTCTTCATTTCCTTTTACCCTTGCCTTTTCTTTCGTCTTTTTTATATGCCTTGCCATTCTATTTGTAACTTGTGGTCATTTTTGGTCATTTTCTTCTCTCTTCCTTTTCCTCTCCTTTTTTTCTTTACTCTGATTTCTTCTTGTCGAATTATATTTAGAAAAGCATTCAGAAACGTCTAAAGGTAGGAGTGACTTACCAATTTTTATCACATCTTTTTTTCTAACCTTTATTTCGAACTTTCACTGTGAGGCGCTTTTGATTACTTTCCTTTTCTTCTTTTCCTTTTACCTTGCCCTTTTTTCTGCCTTGCCGTTTCACTTGCAACCTGTGGTCATTCTTGCGTTTTTTCTTCTCTCTTCCTCTTCCTTTCCTTTTTTCCTTTGCTTTGATTTCTTTCCTGTCGACAAGTAACTTTTTACAAATGTGCTTGCACTAGCAACAAAACGACGCGATTACATAACAATATGAATACAAGATCTTCAAAACAGAACGATTTCTCGTTGAGAAATTTTTCAACGGGAAATAGTTTTGTTCTGAAGACTCTTTCATCGAAACAATCAAATCACCAGCGGTCCGCCAGCAACCTTCAACATCAGAATAATACGCAATAATACATATTATCAAGTGCAATACAATAACAAAAATATAAATACATCTGCAAAATTACTACAAGAAATTGCAGTTGTCACTAGTCGTTACGCACATGACGTATATCATAAAAATTTTTTGCTATCTTTTTACAGAGCATTTCAGCTATACATCACCTCAACTGTATTTACAATGTACGGAATAGATCGGTGAACAAGTAGATGTGGAGACTAATGGGCAAGGTGTACTGCAGGAGGAGGCGGGGAGTAGTAAGGAAGCAAAGAAGCTCTCAAGTAAGGAGCTAGCTGAACTTACGAAAAAATTCATACCGTCATTGACTGAGTATGAGAAAATCAAGCAACCACCCGTTGTTCTTACAGACGGTAATCTTGCGTTACTATTCACCCGTCATCCCTACTTATTACACTGACCAGATAAAAATACATCTGTATTCAGAAGTGTATTCTGCCCCTACATCTTCCAAAGCTCATCAGTACTACTTTAGTGTGCGGGAAGCATGACAGGTTTAATACCCTGCAATCCCATATTCGGTTTGCTCATAAGGAGGAATTCGAAGATTGGGAGATACAGGTGCATTCGGTCGTTTAGCGTTATATGAAACCCACAAGATTAATCACGTCTCGTGTTTAGGTATTGGCGCACATAAGTCGCGGAATGATGGAAAATATGAAGAAAGCAAGAGTAGACTTCAGTCTAGTACCGGAACCTAGAACTGACCGAGAGTGGGATGCGTATGAAATCATTGTGCGCCAACTACGAGACGGCGGTATTCCGATTCATGGGGTTCTTTACTTTGATCCTTGGCTTCTGCTTTTACCGTTCCCAATGCTAACTATAACACCAACAACAAGATGCGTGTGTTACAGGCCTTTGAGCGACGCGTTGTGCTTCAACAACGTGTCTTGGCGGCGCATCCACATATGCAATTCAAAGAGCAAGAACTTATGGACCAGGCAGCGATTTCATCTCAAGGTCCTTCCACCGCATATGCATCGGTGCGACTATGCGAAATTCAAAGCTATATTTATTATCAAACTTTCACCCGACCAACATGAAACTGTTTTCTTAACAGGCGTGCACGATTCCGGAAACGTTCAGTGGACCGCATATTCCACGCGAATATGAATACAGATTTGCTCACGACGACCAGTACAGAGGTGAGCCAATCATGTGAATGACGGAATACAATAATCTAACTGAATCTCCGTACAGGTGGACATAATATCCATTCCCACTTCACGAATCGGCACAGAACAGACTTGATGTTTGCCTACTATGATGATGAATACATGCCGGACTATTTCGTGCAAGACTATACCGTGCCAACAGAGTCAGGTAGGCTTCCAAGGAGTTGCTAATTATACGAACCAAACACTTAACAAAAAGCTCTTCACTTTCTACATTGTTAAGAATGGATGAGAGGCGCGGATATGTCAATGAAGTTATGGAGGAAATTGAACGAAGAGCACCATCCGATCTTGAAGATATTCAAGGAGTCTCTTAAAAAATTCATAGTAAGAAGTTTGTGAACATCTACAAGCCGCCTGTCAAACTTCCCGCGACTATTTCAGCTAATCGGTGGAAAAGAGCCTTACCTCAAGCTGGATGATCGTAGTGCAGCCCACATAGCCTTTGTCTGCCGGTTTATGCTTATAGCGATGAGAGCACGTCAGCGGTAAGTAAATTTCTGTTTCCAGTGTCCGCTTTGGGAAAGAAATCTAAGGTTCAGGTGTGGAAGAATTGTTACTGTGGACGATGCGCTCTTCGCTCACTGTATGGCCGCGGAATTTCTCCAAAAGACGCAAGAAGCTACGGTGACAGTCCATGTTCGTATGGGCTTCATCAAGTCGCTTATCGCCTTCTACAAATTCCTGATCGTTCATATGGACACCGGTACATTTTGCAGATTTTTTCTCACTCAACTTCTTTGCATATACCGAACATACATTTGTCAACAGTCGCCGGAGAACGCAGGATACCGATTGCGAAGAACGCGCTCATCACGCTGAAGCACTACTATGCAATTCTGAAGAGCGAGGGATCGAAAATCGCATCGCATAAGGGAATCGTTACTATGGGGAAGTCTAAAACGGTTCGTACTCACTACAGACCAAACACATGACAAACTTAGGTAATTTAAGTTTTTGGCTCTTTATAGAAATGCGCACTGTATGGAGCGATGCGCGCGGTCGTCAATCACCGCATGGTCAATGAAAAGATTGAGTGGGGGGGGGGGGGGGGGGGGGGGGGGGGGGAGGAAATAATGAAAAAGTTTGCCAGAAGTTCGAGGGAGTTGCTTCATGTGGAGTACAATTTCGTTATGAGGCACGTTATGTACATTGACGGGAGGTTGTAGATGGAAGAAAAAACGCCCTAGATACCTTCAACGCTACCGTGTTTCAGCGCTCTCTTCGCGTACATTGTGGTCTGCAGTGGCTCAAGGAACGAGGTGGCCTGGAAAACGGTATATGGCAGTATAGTGGAGGAGACGGAAACAGTTTTCCAACCGATGGGACTCGTCAAGCATGTGGAATCAGCTGAGAGCTTTTGGGTAAACTTTGCATTCTATCAAAAGCTGCACTTTCGTGTTCACGTAAGCTTCACATGGCAGTGTGCCATTGAGGTTTCAAACACACATTTTTTTGGCCAACAGCATACCATTAAGAATTTAGGTTGTGCGTTTCCCGCAGCCGAAACAGCAAGCATCGGGTCATCAAGAGACTACATGCCAGAGTGGCCTTTTCGTTCTGGACAAGAAATCATATGCATGGTTGCAACACTACAAGAAACTCCGTGCCTTGTATGCCATAATAGGAAACTATTCACACCTTTTTCGAAACGGCGCCGATTGTTTTCAGCGTTATCCAGCAGCATGGCCTTGCTCAAATGAACGAGCAAGCAAGTCGATTCTTCCTGTTGTGGAGCGGTAGACCCGTGTCGTGTTCATCAGCCCCACATCTTCTTCGACGGTTCTTCATTACGATAAATTGCGAAGAAATGAAAGATCACGTGTAATTCGGTAAGTGAGCAAGTGCAAATAGGTGATTTTTCTCAATTGAAAATACTATTCCATCATTCTATAGGCGAGACACGCAATTTCTGGGAGAAACTTCGACGAATCCTTGGATCAAAATGCGGCAGGGAGACTGAAGCCAGTCGATCCTAACATCGCCGCACTGCTAGGTTGGTCAACCTACTGCATAGTTTAAAATTGACAGGAAACACGTTTATACCTTTCAAGGTCACTCCGAAGAAGTCCAAGCGCGTCATTATGTAGACAGCTGGGCAAAGTCCGCTGTTAAGGGATACCGTATTGTGAAGCTGTTAGCCGAAAGACAGAAAGGACTATTCGGGGCCGATATAGCGGCGGCTGAACGGCGCGTAAAATTCATGGGGTAGGCTCAGTCGATTAATTTCATACAACGCTCTCCTCTCGGGTACACGGTATCTCATTTTTCAGATTTTCCAAGGTGGCTATGCAGTTGTCGGACGCGGAGGCAGAGGAGGATTGTGGAGAACGCGAACCCTATTCGCAAGACGAGGAAGATGCTGCTGTGGCATCCGATTCCAGTGGATTCGTCCCCTCAAGGCCGACTCGTAGTTAGTATCAGTATTACAGTGATTTTTTCTACAATAGACACTGTACAGACTAACATCACATAGTTATATTCCTATTAAGAAGTGGCTGGTGACGTGGCCTCAACAAGCGGCGCTCGGCTATCTCCAAGAAAGCGCGCAATGGTTTCGCCCTCATTACAAAGGTACTTCTATTGTGATAATCACTAAACTATATTAACTGATTACATTGAGTTGCGGTAACATTATATAAGGCTCATAAAACAATGCACAGTTTCAGCAGAAATTTTTGGGTGACAGCAGTGATGAGGACTCCAATCGACCCACCTCCCTCATAAACCACCAGTGGAAGTCCAAAAAAGCAAGTGGAATAAAGCGAAAAGGTTCCTGAAACGAGTAACGAAAAGGGCGGAAACGAGCGGGAACGAAGCCGGAACAAGCGGTCTACGTCAGCGTCAACATTCACTGCTTGGAAGACGAACAATTGTGTGCTCTGATGATGAACACGTCGATCCAGCCCCGCCGTCACGCTCACCAGAAAGAACGACAAAGATGCTGCCGAGTGCTCCGCCGCTAGAGCACGAATTCGTTGAAGAGTCTCCACTAGAACCAGCTCCTTCGATGGAGCAGAGGACACCGCCGAGAACGATACCGGTGTACAAGCTTCCAGTAAGCCGCTCTCATGATGATCACATTCATCCACTTCCATCATCGCACGCATCCGAGATGAGAACGAGGACGCTGCCCTTGTGCTCCGCCGCTAGAACACGGTATACACATAAGTGAATATAAGGGTAAAAAAACGCTGATCACAACTATCATTCCAGGGAGCCCATTCGAATTCCTCGACGACGCCGTTACCGAAGAGCACTCGTCGTCCGAGGTCTCCACTCATTGGCGACTCATTGCTCTCGACAGAGTGCACTGGCCAGCTATGAGGCGGAGACAAATGGTCGCTAGAGACGCTAACCTTGATAGGTCCAACCCTCCGATGACGGCTGAACGACTGCTATTATGGGTTGGTATTCAGTCGAAACTACTTCTTCAATTGGACACCACTCATGGACTGGACAGTTTCGCAGCATACAAAGCGAGCCGCATTGTTATGTGCCCTGAAAATGCACATGTGAGTCGATAAGCGATTATTTGGTTACTTCCGTTCATGCACCATCGTGCAAGCCTCCTTCCGATTTCAGAGATACGATCCCTCCAATGAGGTCATTCCATTCGACGCGGATAATCAGCTGAGTAAGCTGCTCATGGCAGCTTACGGAGATGCATATCATAGGAAGAGGAAAGCGTCGGTGGTGATTGTGCTGAAACCGGCAGTCGGTATCGCAGCAGTGGTACTTCTTGGTGAGGCCATCTCACCAAGTTCACCACAAAGGTATAGCTGTTGCGTGAGTTACGACGAGTCTGCACAGAGTTGCTATGCGGTGAGCACTATCCCCATAAATGTTTTATTGAGCAATCACACTTTCGAGGCTACATCGTTTCAGGTTCGCAAATGTCCGTTGAATACCGAAGGACCAACCCTAAGCGAAGAGTTTTGCAGAGCAGAGCTGCTGCATTTTAGGACCAAGAATCATGATATGTGGACGGACTTGTTGTACAAGAAGAACCTGGAGTTTTCGTATGTTCTCAACATCATGCGCCAGTATCACGCTCTCCAAAGTCTTTGTACGTTTCGAATTCAAATTTTTCTTTCAATTCTAATTTTTTTCTTCGATTTGTTCGTAAAATACTGAACAAATATTGGTCATGACTAGAAATATGAAACAAAACATTAAAATAAGACATTCACTGAATGGTCTATGTGTGTATATCTGCATATTTGCTTGCGAATATATAAATATACACACAGACATGTACAACATAAATATAAATATATAACCATCATAAACAGAATTGTCACACGTCTATTGAGTCATGGTCATTTGAACTGTTTAAGAAAGAAGTTCACAAATGACGGTGACGGTGCTCAGCGCTCGAATCCACGATGGGATACAAAAGCCGACCAACCACTGCTGAAGAAGCCACGAACGCGTTCTACAACGTATACGCAAATAATAACATAGATAATACCGAAATAAATGATTTCGTGCAAAGCTGGGCATGCCTAAAATGTGTTCATACATTCATTGATATTTTTTTTGATGATATGAATCCGAATTTCGTTTTATCACGAGTCCCACTGCTCGAAAGGGTAATGTCGGAATCTAGTTTACAGCTACAGAATGCAGTCGGCTCACGTCTACAAAGTGTTGGCTATTTTGGTGCTTTTCTGCACCAAAGATACGAGTGGAGAATTCGGTGCGTACGCGCCAGAGTTCGTGCATATTCCTGCACAGATCAATGGAGCAATTCATGATGAATTGCTACGTAATGGTCTCTACGC